GGGTGTGGGTGTGGGTATGGGTGTGGGTATGGGTGTGGGTGTGGGTGTGAGTGCTTGGGTGGATGTGGGTGTGGGTGGGTGAGGGCGTCGGTGGATGGGGGTGAGGGTGTGGGTGTGAGTATGGGTGTGGGTGTGAGTATGGGTGTGGGTGTGAGTATGGGTGTGGGTGTGAGTATGGGTGTGGGTGTGAGTATGGGTGTGGGTGAGTGTGGTTGTTGGTATAAGTATGTCTCTTCTTGTGGTACGCACACCCACTCCTACACCCACACCCACACCCCACACCCCACACCCTCACTGTTCACAAGCATTCAAAGTTTGAAGGCCAAAGCTTGAAATATGAGTAAAGCCCAAGTGGGATAAGGACTTTTGTCCAAAACTACGATTGTATATGTATTAGATAATTTTCGGTATAAATCTTTTCGTTTTCGATGCATATTGAGTCCATTCACTACCAAATTTCTTTGCTAATTCCTCTTCCTCCATTTTGACACGCCTTGTGATAATCAACGTTAAGAACAAGTAAAACATTAAAGTTCCAATTGGACTAAACAGAACTTGTAACCATGTTTGATTAGGACAAAAATTTGTCAATCGTTGGTGAACTAGTAATATTCCGCATATTAAGATGTATATAAACATGTACGATGGATGCCGTACATAAGCATATGGACCAGTCTTGATTAATTTATGTGTACTTCGAATAGTTAATTCAAAGGTAAAAAATGCTCCTAATGTTCTATAACACCAAATTCTTCCCAAACCACCCACGATTATAAGGATATACCCGATCACTGACATTGGATTAAATGGTAAGGGATCAATTGATGTCGACATTTGTGGAAAAAACATTGAAATGGAGGTTGGTGAAAAAACTTGAAGGAATAAATATAACGCTTGATATGATGTTAAAGTCCATATGAGAAGCTTGCCAATTTTCGGTGCAATAAACACTAGAAATGATGAACCAATGCCTTCATATGGAACGTAATCATTGGTAGAACTAACATTGGGATTGGAGGCACCCATGTGAATCAGTAAACTTGTAAAACACAGAAGAAAAAATTGAAATAGTGTAAAAATATCGTTGGACATATTTTGTGTAGAATATTAGAACACTGAAATGCATTTATTTATCACAGTTCTTTGCATATTCGTCTTTCTTTTCGTTTTTCTATGCAAGAAAGAGAAAAAAAAGAAGCTTTATCTTCGTTTATATATCATGTTAATGGTGTCTCTTTCGCGACTTTCCCTGTAGATTGTGTGTTGTTATTTTTTTGTTGCACAAAAGAAAAGGGACATGGCAAACATAAAGATAAGAGAAAAATGATATAGCTTGCTGGTTGTTCCCTCGACTGAAAGGAGGGTCATATGAAAAAAAATAGTTTGTGTGTATGTATGTATGTTTGTGTCAGGGTCAAAAGAACATCAGGGTCAAAAGAACATCAGGGTCAAAAAAACATCCGCTTCTGCATAAAACTTGACCAAAGAGTAATCGAGGGTGGGGAACTCGAATCTGAGGTTAGATTTAATTAATTATTAATTCATTATTAACTAATTATTAATTGATTATTAATTATTAATGTCTTTTATAAAACTTAACAAAAAGGTGATCGAGGACGGAGAACACGAATCTGAGGTTAGTTTTAATTAATTATTAATTAATTATTAACTAATTGTTAATTGGTCATTAATTATTAATTTTTCTTATAAAACTTGACCAAAGGGTAATCGGCAGTGGAGAACTCGAATCTGAGGTTAATTTTAATTAATTATTAGCTAATTATTAATTGATTATTAATTATTAATGTTTTTATAAAACTTGACCAAAAGGCAATCGAGGGTGGAGAACTCGAGATTGTGGTTAGTTTTTCCCTCGACTGAAAGGAGGA